GTGAGGGGGGGAAAGAGCAGGAAAAGTGAGGGGGAAAAAGGCGGGAAATGTGAGGGGGGAAAGAGCAGGAAATGTGAGAGGGAAAGGGTGGGAAAAATGAGGGGAAAAAATGGGAAATGTGAGGGGGAAAGGGCAGGAAACGTGAGGGGGGAAAGGGTGAGAAAAGTGAAGGGAGAAAAAGGTGGGAAATGTGAGGGGAAAAAAGGGCAGGAAAAGTGAGGGGCAAAAAGGTGGGAAAACATGAAGGGGGAAAAAGGGCGGGAAACGTGAGGGGGAAAAAGAACAGGAAACGTGAGGGGAGAAAAGAGCGGGAAACGTGAGGGGAAAAAAGGCAGGAAACGTGAGGGGGGAAAAGGGTGGGAAATGTGAGGGGAGAAAAAGGTGGGAAATGTGAGGGAAAAAAGGCGGGAAATGAGGGGAGAAAAGGGAGGGAAATGTGAGGGAGGAAAGAGCAGGAAATGTGAGAGGGAAAGGGTGGGAAAAATGAGGGGAAAAAGTGGGAAATGTGAGGGGAAAAGGGTGGGAAACGTGAGGGGGAAAAAGGCGGGAAATGTGAGGGGAGAAAAGAGCGGGAAACGTGAGGGGGAAAAGAGTGGGAAATGTGAGGGGGAAAAAAGGGCGGAAAATGTGAGAGGGAAAGGGCGGGAAAAATGAGGGGAAAAAGTGGGAAATGTGAGCGGGAAAAAAGAGCGGGAAATGAGGGGAGAAAAAGCGGGAAATGTGAGGGGGGGACAAATGTGGCAGGGTGACAGCGCTGGGACATTGAAGTGACAAAGTGACACAGGGACGGTCAGGGTGACACGGGGTGGGTGACAGGAGGGAACAGGAGGTGACAGAGACTGATGGAATGTAACAGAAAGTGACAGGAGGGAACAGGAGTGACAAAAGGTGACAGAATGTGACAGAAAGTGGAAGTAGGTGGCAGTAGGTGACAGGGGGCAAGAGAAGGTGACAGAAGATGACTGAAGGTGACAAGGAATGACAGTAGGTGACAGGGTGACAGTAGGTGAGAGAAGGTGACAGAAGGTGACAAGCAGCGACAGTGGGTGACAGGGTGACAGAAGGTGACAGAGGGTGACGAGGATTGACAGAAAGTGATGGGGTGACAGAAGGTGACAGGGTGATGAGGAATGACAGAAGGTGACAAGGAGTGGCAGTGGGTGAGGAGGTGACAGTAGGTGACAGTAGGTGACAGAAGGTGACAATAGGTGACAGAAGGTGACAAGGAGTGACAGTAAGTGACAAAAGTGACAAGCAGTGACAGAAGGTGACAACAAGTAACTGTAGGTGACAGAAGATGACAGAAAGTGACACAAAGTGACAAACAGCGACAGTAGGTGACAATGGGTGACAGAAAGTGACAGAAGGTGATGGGGAGTGACAGTGACAAGGAGCAACAGTAGGTGACAACAGGTGACAGAAGTCGACAGAAGTTGACAAAGAGTGACAGTAGGTGACAGTAGGTGATGGGGTGACAATAGGTGACTGAAGGTTACAGTAGGTGACAGAAGGTGATACTAGGTGACAGAAGGTGACAGTAGGTGATGGTAGGTGATGGGGTGACAATAGGCGACAATGGGTGACAGAAGGTGACAGGTGACAGTAGGTGATAGGGTGACAATAGGTGACAGAAGGTGATGGGGTGACAATGGGTGGCAGAAGGTAACAATAGGTGACAATAGGTGATGGGGTGACAATAGGTGAAAGAAGGTGACAAGGAGTGACAGAAGGTGACAGAAGGTGACAAAAGGTGACAGAAGGTGATGGGGTGACAATGGGTGGCAGAAGGTAACAATAGGTGACAATAGGTGATGGGGTGACAATAGGTGACAACAGTTGACAGAAGGTGATAGTAAGGTGACAAAGAGTGACAGTAGGTGACAGTAGGTGACAGAAGGTGACAAGGGGTGACAGAAGGTGACAGAAGGTGACAATAGGTGACAGAAGGTGACCGTAGGTGATGGGGTGACAATAGGTGACAGAAGGTGCCGGAAGGTGACAATAGGTGACAGAAAGTGACAGTAGGTGATGAGGTGACAATAAATTACAATAGGCGATGGGGTGACAATGGGTGACAGAAGGTGACAAAAGGTGACAATAAATGACAATAGGTGATGAGGTGACAGTAGGTGACAGAAGGTGCTGGAAGGTGACCGTAGGTGATGGGGTGACAATAGGTGACAAAAGATGACAAGGAGTGATAATAGGTGACACAAGGTGACACAAGGTGACACAAGGTGACAATAGGTGACACAAGGTGCCGGAGCGCGGTACCTGGCGGGTGGTGGTTGGCCGCATAGCCCTGCAGCGGGTGGGGCGCTCCGTAGGGCTGCCGGTGCAGCAGGTCGGGGTCGGGGTGCGACCCCCGCGAGCCCCCGTACACCAGGCT